CTTTGCTGCAAAGCTGGATATGACCAAAGCCTACGACAGAGTAGAGTGGGATTTTTTTTGGAAAAGATGCTGCAGAAGCTTGGTTTCAATGAGAATTGGATAAAATTGGTGATGATGTGTGTTACGAGTGTTACCTACTCAGTGCTGATTAATGGCCATCGGTCAAAAGAGATAAAGCCCTCGAGAGGCCTCATACAAGGTTAGCCTCTGTCACCCTACTCTTTTCTTATATGTGCTGAGGGATTCTCATCCCTTCTGAAGAAAGCGGAGAAAGAAAGAAAGATCCAGGGGATCAAGATATGCCATAGGGCGCCTACCATTTCACATCTACTATTTGCTGATGACAGCCTAGTCTATGGGAGAGCTACCATTGTGGACTGTGAAGAGTTGAAAAGGATACTGAGAATCTATGAGAAGGTGTCTGGCCCAAGTATTAACCTATCAAAGTCTGGGGTGTCTTTTAGCAGGAATGTGAAATGGAGCAGAAGATTGGAGATCAGTGGGACTCTGGGAATCAAAACTGTTGACAAGCATAACAAATACCTCGGCCTGCTTACTGTTATTGGTAGATCAAAAAGAGAAGTTTTTGAAGAGCTGAAAGAAAGGGTTAGAAAGAGGCTAAAGGACTGTGAAAGCCTCACTCTCTCGGCTGAAGGGAAAGAAATTTTGATAAAAGTTGTTGCCCAAGCGCATCTTATCTATCCTATGATGGTTTTTCAAATCCCAGAAGGAATTCTATAGGAAATTCAGAGGCTGATTGCCAGATTCTGGTGGGGACAAAAGCAAGGATCCATTGGATTAATTGGGAAGGTCTATGTTTGCCTAAGGAAGCGGGTGGATTGGGGTTCAAAGACCTGAGAACAGTCAATACAGCTATGCTGTGGAAACAGATATGGAACATCTTAAATCGACCAAATTCACTGATGGCGAGGGTACTCAAGGCGAGGTACTATCCAAAAAACGAGATTTTGAATGCTAAGCTTGGCAGCAATCCTAGTTTCATATGGAGAAGCCTTGTCAATGCTAAAGATGAAATTGTGGATGGATTTCGATGGAGGGTGGGAGATGGAGAAAACATCAATGTGTGGGAGGATTGGTGGATCCCAAACATCAGGAAACTTTCTACTAGTGATCAGAGCAACGACTTGGTGCCAAACATGAAAGTGAGCTCCCTTATTGACAGAGAAGGCGGTTGGTGGGATCTGCCTAAGCTCCAATCTCTATTCTCAAGTAATGTTCAATCAGATATTATGAAGATTCCTCTAAGAAATCCTCCAGCTGGGGACTCAGTTCTTTGGTATAGGATGGAAAACAGTATCTATACCGTTAAATCAGCGTACATGGAGCTAAGGCAGAAGAAGCGTCCTTGGTTGGAAGATAATAACTTAGACGCTCAAAGGATGAAAATCTATTGGAAGAAGATTTGGAACCTCCCAGTCCAACCAAAAGTTAAAATTTTTCTTTGGAAGATCAACAAAGATATATTACCTGTTGGAACCAACATTGAGAAGCGTATCGAAGATGCTCCATCTGACTGCCCCTTCTGCGGACTTCCCGAAACCCAGCTCCATTGTCTGAGGGACTGTGAGTGGACTCGGCGTCTCTGGCAACCTCATGATGATTCTGGTATCTTTAGCCAAGGGGAAGGGCTATCGAGGAGTGACTGGTTTCACAAAGTCTTTGAATCCCAATCGGAGGAAAGCCTGCAAAAATTTTGTGCGATGCTTTGGTTTATCTGGAAAGAGAGGTGCAACAACATGTTTAATAACAAGAAACTTGAGGCGGAGGAGATTATACTGAAAGCTCTTGACTGGATTGCAGACTACCTTCAAGCTCAGGGCATCACAACACCAAGAGAAAGGCAATCAACTGAAGCCCGGGGTTGGAGGAAACCACCAGCAGGAATCTACAGGATGAACAGCGATGCAGGGCTTTTGAAACCATATGGAATTGGTGTTGGCTGTGTTTTCAGGAATTGGGAAGGATTTTTTTTTTTTGGGAGCAGTAGCTGGGAAAGAGAATGGAAATTGCAGATCGATAGAGGCGGAGGCTAAGGCAATCATTGTTGGGCTGAGAGAGGCGAATCGAAGAGGCTGGAGCCCTCTAATCGTGGAATCTGACTGTCTGAATTTGGTGAAGATGCTGGATAAGGAGGAAGAAGATCGAACATAGCTGGGTATGTGGTGCAAGGAGATCAGGGACTTAGCTGAGGTCAACTCGACTCTATCCGGCAGAAGAATCGAGTGGGCTTTCGTGCCAAGAGAATCAAACTCTGTAGCCCATTTTTTGGTCCAATTGGCTCCTCAATGGAACCAACTTTATATCTGGACTGAAGGTCCACCCAGCTCCATTAGGATCCTGTTAGAGGCTGACGAAGCCCAAAACTCTCGAAGTTAAGTTATAATATGAACAGGGCTTTCTATAAAAAAAAAGTTTTTAGAGATGAGGGTATAGGGAGATAACGACGAGAGAGTAATTGAAAGAAATTTTGGACTGTTGAGGATATTAATTACTTAGTCAAAAAGTAATTAATTCCTTGTCCTACAAGTCCCTAGTTTTCCTTGTTCAAGTAAAAGAAGGAAACTTGGTTGTCATTAGGGTTTTAACCCTAAGTCTATATCTATAAAAGCTTAGCTACGGTCATGTCGTAAGCAAGCCGTCAAGATGTAGTCCTATAATAAAACATCAGTCTCGATCAATCAATCGATCAAGGATACCACGTAAAATCCCTTGTGTTATGTGTTCGTTTCAATTCCGCGTCATCAAATTCTTCATGGTATCAGAGCAAAACTCGAGCCATTGTTAGGGTTTTGAGCTTCCGCAAGTTTTTGTCTTTTGTCTCGTGTCTTCGTCAATCAGCAGCCACGGTGAAAGAAGTTGTTGGCTCCACCTCCGACTCCAACATCAGGTCGCCGTTGTTGCCCAATCGTGGTCGTCCGTGGTCTCTCTCTCTAAAGGTCGTCGTCGCATCCCGTCATAGTCGCTGATTTCAATCGGATTCAGTTTCGTCTGCCTCGATTTTCTCATCAACACCAGTCAAGGCCGTCGTCAATGGCCTCAACTCGCCGTTGTTCCACTTATCATCATCGTCATCCGCGTCCCGACGTCGTTGACTCATCATCGTCGTAGTCGTCAATTGTCGCGGTTAATTGCCGCTGATCTCCCAGATCCGTCTAAAAGATCACCGCTGTCGATTCGGATGAGCAGTCCAGCTCTCCGTACGTCAGGTTGACCTAGGCGAAGTCCGTCCGCTGTGGGTCGCAACACTACTGTCCAGTCACAGCCGTTTGTCGGCTCAATCATCCCGGCGTTGCTACCATCATTCATGGGTGCCATCGTTCAGGAGATGCCGATGTTCATTCCGGCCTCCAACTCTGTCTCCGTCGCCGTTGCTGTAATCACCACCGACTCCATCCTAGTCAATTCCGAGCAACGACCTGATCTTGTTCCACGGTCCTTGATCTTGTTCCGCAGGCGACATTGATCCCATTGTCCTCGCTCCTCGATGTCGTCGCTAGCCTTGCCGGCGAGCCTCCCCCATCAGTTTTGGCTGTCCGTTGCCGCCGATCTCTGTTGTTGCCAACCGCTCAATTTGTCACAGCGGTAGTAGAAAGGGAGCCACAGTTCGAAACCTCAAGGCCGTCTCTCCACAATGGGCCTCCTAAGGTTCGGTTTCATGATTTTGGGCCAGGTTGTTAACTATTTGTTTGACTTCCACTCAGGCTGGCAAGTTTACATATTGGGAGAAGTTTACTTGAGGAGAGGGTTTTGGGTTGTTCGTCTATTTCTAGAATGAAGAAAAGAAACCTTTCATTGGTATGTTAATTCAAGTTTGTAGAAAGGTTGGTGGGTTTTGCTAGTCTCAAGTTCAAGGTTCAGCACCTGTGCTTTGGTCCTATCAAAGAGTAACTTCATGAGCTTCTATGATCGCCATCATGCTCAGTCCCAGGAAGTCTTCGATTGTTCAAGTTGTTGCTATAGTCACTGTGTTTTGTCAAGAAGGCTAGTTGTCATTGAAGCCGTGTCATCTTCATCAAGGTTCCGTAGAAAGCAAGTCTTCACCAACATCAAAGTCATGGTATTGAAGAAAAATCATGACCTGCCGTCATTGTCTCTTCAATAGCTATTGTTGGGGAGATATAGTTTTCTTCAAAAAAAAAGAAGGTCAAGTCATAAAGCGAGGCAGTCACGATCCCAGTAACGATCGTCCCCTCAGCATTCAACATCGGTCAATATTGTGTCATCACCATTCTAACTTTCAAGCTGGGCATTCACATCGTTCATGCGTCAGCTTGAGGGGGAGAATAGAGAGTCAAGTTGTTCAGGAGATGCAGTCAACCATCTCCACCATATCATACGGATAGACGTAGTCAATCGTCTCCGTCAAGTCATTCAAGAGACGCAGTCAATCGTCTCCATCAAGTCATTCAAGAGACGCAGTCAACCGTCTCCGTCAGTTCGTTCAAGAAGACGCAGTCAACCGTCTTCATCAGGTTGTTCAAGGGAGAGAGTCAGTCGTCTCCAAATCAACCTCGTCCGAGATGTTATTCATCTCGAGTTATGTTGTTCAAGCTGCTTGTTCGTCACATTTCCTTTTTCAAGCTCGACATTCTTGTCATTCATGTCTTCGCTTGAGGGGGAGTGTTGAGGATATTAATTACTTAGTCAAAAAGTAATTAATTCCTTGTCCTACAAGTCCCTAGTTTTCCTTGTTCAAGTAAAAGAAGGAAACTTGGTTGTCATTAGGGTTTTAACCCTAAGTCTATATCTATAAAAGCTTAGCTACGGTCATGTCGTAAGCAAGCCGTCAAGATGTAGTCCTATAATAAAACATCAGTCGTGAGCTCGTTCCGAGCTCACCGTGGATTAGTCTCGATCAATCAATCGATCGAGGATACCACGTAAAATCCCTTAAAATCCCTTGTGTTCTGTGTTCGTTTCAATTCCGCGTCATCAAATTCTTCATGGACACAAATTAAAGAGGAAAAAACCTCAGGATCGTAAATATGAACAATGAATTCAGTTCAACAACACGTAAGAAGCTGTGAAGGGGAGGGGGAAGGAACGCTAAATAGAATAAATGCCTCTTCTCCATGGCGGGAACCATTGGCGCCATTAATTCAGGATTCGCGCCATAACTGGCGAGTTTCTGCCTATTTAATCGACCGCCCACTAGTGACTACTATGAACTATCGTCTCCCAATCACGTCTTCCCATTTCGCCCCCAAACCTCTGATTTACCGAAACCCATCACCCCTCTCCTCAAAATGGCCCAAGCAGCGGAGATCAAGAACGGCAGCGCCGAAATCCAGGAGCCGGCGGCGAAGATCCCGAAGCTCGACCAGCAAAACGGCGTCCACTCCGCCCTCGTCCCCGCCGATGTGTCTTTCTTCAAGGTGAAGAAGCTTTCCCCGAAGGCCGTCTTGCCCACTAGAGCCTCTCCTCTCTCCGCCGGCTACGATCTCTCCAGGTGAATTTCCCCTCCCCTCTCTGTCTCGCTCTCCCTCTTTCTTCCAGTAACCCATACTGCTCCTGAGATTCTGATCAGTCCGACGAAAATTCCAGTGCTGCGGAGGCGAAAGTCCCGGCGAGGGGGAAAGCCCTAGTTCCGACGGACCTGAGCATCGCGGTGCCTGAAGGGACATACGCCCGCATAGGTAACTTTTTTTTCTTCTTCTAATCGATCCAACTCTTTTCGCTTCGATTTACTCGCTGAAATAGTCGTTTAACCTTGGGATAATCACTGGTTTTGCTTCACCGGCGCTACAGCTCCGAGGTCCGGACTCGCGTGGAAGCACTCGATCGACGTGGGAGCGGGAGTGATAGACGCCGACTACAGAGGCGCCGTCGGGGTTATCCTGTTCAATCACTCCGACGTCGACTTCGAGGTCAAGCAAGGCGATAGGATTGCTCAGCTGATTATCGAGAAGATAGTCACTCCCGAGGTTGTGGAAGTTGAAGATTTGGAAGCCACCGTTAGAGGCGAAGGAGGGTTCGGCTCCACCGGCGTCTGAAATCCATTTCATTTTTACCGTTCGCTAACCCTCGTCGCCGACTTGTTTTTTCCCCCATTTGCTTCGGCCTCCGTTGTAGGGGTAGTTTAGTGATATGAGCGGATGATGTTTCTAAATCGGATAATAGAAAGTAGTGCAGTAGCAGTAGTAAACTAGTAATCAGAGTCTAGAAGCTTTATGCCTTGGGTATCAAGTTATCAACTATCAAGTAGTAATCTATATTCCATCAATTCTTTTTGTCATCCTCTCTCTCTCTCTAGGTTCAGCGGATTATACCCACTGCAGCATGCCAGCATTACCAGCTGCCAATTGTGGAAAGCATCATGGATTCCTGGGCAACAAGCTTGCACTTATCGGGGACATGACTTAACGAGACTTGAAAAATATTAATTTAGTACTGCTGTATGTAGGGTAAGCGAGATTCGATTCGTTATATCTACGGTACAAAAGCAAGGCCTGATGAAAGAAGAAGGGATGGTCAGCCAGCGTGCAAAAGGTTCCTGCTTGTTTAAACCTTGGGTAGAAGGGTTGAAGGAGTGGCTGGGACATCTAAGCTCTCCTGAAAAGGTTCAAGAGAAGATATAAGTCCAGAAGTTCAAGTGCATCGGTAGTGGTCACAACCCTTCTGCATTATACCTGTAGGTACTTGTTTAGCAATGTAGTGGTGCTGGAGTTGAAGCCCTGGACTGGCGCTTTCTTTGTCCGTGAAGCATGAAGTTGCTTTCTAACTTGAGTGGCAAGTGACTGCACAAGAACGATCATTGAACCAAAGTGTTAAAGCAAGTGTTGAAAGAAAGTCGCTATTGAACATGAGAGGAAGAACCGGATTTTATTAGATTTCGGAAGGAAGTGAAAGTACTCAAAACACTAATTACCACCCACCTTCCCTAACTCGACGCCCCACTGGTCGAACGAATTGATGCCCCATATGAAGCCCTGTACAGCTACTCTGTGTTCATAGATTGCCAACAACTGCAAACAAGTATCATGTCTTGAACATTTAGGCTAGCAATAGAGACTCCATGAGTTGCAATAGAACCAATGAGAGACAAATAGAAAAACAGATCATGTATGAGCATAAGTAGGAAAGAACGAACCTGTCCAATTTTATATGCGTCCAGTGAGGAAAGCAGAAGGCTGATCGAAGGTCTGTTGCCAGTAAATGTCTGCAAGATAACAGTATGGTTAGTCATAATGTTTCCTCAGACAAGTTGTTACAGTTAAAAGAGAAACTTCATCTATGAATCTACCTTGTGAGGAATCAGATGATCTGGGACATTCTCCTTCAGCAGTTGTTCATGTGTCTGCAGAAGGCTAGTGATTAACAGAGACCCAAATGTGGCATCAACTTTGTTGTACTAAGATTCATTTGGGAAAGTATGGAACTACCTTTCCATATGCAAGAGCATCGGGCTGAGCAAAAAAGTTAGACATGAGTTCATCATGGTTGTTGACAATCTCCCCTGCACAGACAAAATTGACAACAAATTGATATGTCATGATTTGGACAAAAGGGATACAAAGATAAACTTTCTGAACATACCTTCCAAGTATACTGGCTGCTGGCTCTTTATAACACCAATAAAATCACAAGGAATGACACGCCCCTGAATAAGCCAAATATTTAAACATCACTTCAGCATAGGATAACATGGCTCATGGTTTAAGTAGAGGGTAACCCGTAACCCCATGTGCCATTCTGTTTTTAAACGAAGGAAAATGTCAGTTACCTGGTGAATTAGTTGATAAAAGCTATGCTGACCGTTGGTTCCCGGCTCACCAAAATCAATTTCACCTGTCTCAAGCGGAAGTGGCACCCCATCAATGGATACTCCCTTGCCATTACTTTCCATGCTAACCTGATATTGAGTATCGGATAGAATTTTCAGCACTGAGCTCATAAAATATCTTCAAAATATACAAGGAAGCATACTCCGAAACAAACATTGGCAGTCTCTTTCTCACCTGTTGGATATGTGGTGCAAACTTTTCCAGGGCTTGGGAGTATGGCAGGATGGCCTGGAAAAATACCAATATGATTATGGGAATACGAGACAAATAAATTAAAAAAAAAACATGAAGTTGTTGCAATCTCAACAGAACATACTCTTGCAGGATATCCAAGAAACGAAACATTCCACACGCTCAATAAACCTAAGAGAACCTGCACAAAGATTTAGTAGACATGAAACAAGAATCTACATGATCAATCTAAGTCATTGAAGTATAAGCAGAAAAGGAAATGTTAGAGACAGACCAGCAACCAGTTTCATAGTACATACAGCATGTGAAATCGCAGTGTCTAACAAAACATCAATAAGATTCTAAATAGCATGCTTGTCAACCTGGACTAGATCTTTCTACCAGTGAAAACAGTAGTGCTTGTTCTGTTATTGCATAAAGCTACAAGTATTTCCCTATACAGTCCCTATGGTACTTACTCTACAAAAGTACGATTAGGCGATTACAGACTGATAAACTCATATGACATTGGTACTCACAGGCAGATTTTTCTCGAATGGCGCAGACGAGAAGTGTTTATCTACGCTCCATGCTCCATTCAGGAACCTTACAATCACACAAAAGGACTGGCCTCATTAAGCTTGTGATAATGAAGCATAGAAACATGCACCGGATAGATAATTCTTTGTAAGGACACATGTGACGCAAAAATTAGATACAGCAGAACTCGACATTTTGCTTTTACTAAAATTGCAAAACCAAAGGCCGTCCCCGATTTTAGTGAAAATAAACAATTTAACTGAATAAAAATGAGTACAGTGGGGTACTTCAATCACACAAACAACTGAACAACTGCCAGACTACTCGCATCTAGAAAGACCCATAAAACATTTAGCTGGATCGTCGCCTTTTAAAATATGCTGTATAAGGTTTTTATTATTTTAAGATAAGAACTGCTACAACCATTATCGTAGAGTCTAATACTATTGTACATCATAATTTAAAAAGAAGTTACCGTACTTCTCAACCACGGAGAAACCATACTGGAGAAACAAAGGCATCACACCAACTGCACTGCAAACTGTAGAGAGGCCAGATGATTAAGATCAACCATGAAATCCACATAAAAACACCAAGAAGGATAAAATAAGAGAAACTTACCACTATACCTGCCGCCAACCCAGTCCCAAAACGCAAAAGCATTCTTTGGATCAATTCCAAACTTTTCTACAAGCTGCATTACATAGCAGAAAATTACAATAACGCTAGAACTTTCACAAGGAATTGAAATTTAAATGTTAGCATAATAGTTAAGTTAGCACAGTGATCATTTTTTCCAAACCAACAATAAGGGAGAGGCAGAAGTAACGTTTTCAAGAGTGATAACTATACAAAAGACATTGCACTTTCATTCTTGGAACTGTTAACAAGCAATAAGGAAACACAAGAGAGACAAGAATTTCATACCATGAGGTTTGTGCTAACAGCCACCATATGTTTTGCGACTGCAGAAGGTCTGCAGACATTTTAGAAATAGATTCATGTCATCCTTTCCACTTTGCATCAGGAAAACTACTAACAAGAAAAGTTGTTGCCCTCCAAATATCGATATACTCTAGAACTCAATCTCAGCGAATTATTAACAAAAGAAGGACTTGTGTCCTTGTCTTCCTCACCCAAGCTCTTTTGAAATCCAAGTTCTTAGCGTGCGGGCATTTAACATGGTTTCAGCTGTGGTGAAAGTTTTTGAAACCACAACAACTGCATGGAATTAAAGGAAAATCAGATGAGCATTTGAAGTCAGGGAAAAGAAACTAAATATAGAAATAAACAAGAGAAACAACCACAGTCTACAGTACCACACCAACAGAAAAGGAAGGTCTCTCACCCAACGTTGTTTCAGGGTTCAAGCCTGTAATATTTCTAGCAACATCAATTGGATCCACATTGGCGAGACTGAAAACAATTTATAACAGTTATTAGGATGTATAGCAATAGGACGGCAGATTAAACATAATCAGAGTCATGGTAATCTTCAGCGCCATACAAGAATAGCCCTTAAAACATGTGGTCAGCTAACTACTTCCTTTGATACAGAAACTACTTACAATCGCAGTTGGCGTCCCTTTGCTTGCTTGCTAGCCTCCGGATCTGTGAGTTACTACCAGTAAATAATTCTTGTGTATAAAAAAAATGCTGGTACACTAATCACAGGGAACGCAAGTTTCTAAACATGGTGTTTTATGGCTATAAGGAGGCATTAGAAAACCTGTTTGAAGGGCAGTGTGCACGAAAAGAGGACCTAAAAAGCTGCCACCAATGCCAACAGAAATAACGTTGGTTAACGGTTTTCCCGTGGCTCCAACCTGTCAATGGATGCCTATTACTGAACAATACAAGAATTGTGCCCCCAAAACTCCAGGAAACTTCACGTTACCTACCCATGAACCATTCCTGACTTTGTCAGAGAAATCCTTAATCTGGTCCAAAACCTTCCAAACATCTGGCACAACATTCTTGCCATCACTCTTAACCACAGCATCTCTTGGAGCTCGAAGAGCCACATGGAGCACTGACCTATTCTCTGTGCTGTTAATCTAAAAATGGGAGTATAATCGCAATGAGAATACTAACCACGCAATCATATCAATGGAAATTGACCTAGTTGAAAACATTGAATGAGGGGGAGTCTACCAAAAAAGCTAAAAAAGCGAGATCATGAGAACTATGCAACAGTGTCTACTGACACTCATAAGCAAGGCACTGCCCGACAAAGTAGCAAGAATGGCAATGAAATTTCCATGGTAGTCGACTGACAAACAATTATAACTCACATGCTCGCCGTTAAACATGCGTTCAATCTTATCTTTCAGATGTGCAGCCTGCAGCAAGAAATACGTGACTATGGTCAATACGTTATGTCATAATCAAAGCTCGTCGTTCAAAATCGAGAGCGAGCTATTGTTCACCTCAGCCAGCTTCTGCAGTTTATTCAATGTACCAAGAGTAGCTTGCTGGCGCGAGTAGTCCAGTGTTATACCGTCGAACTCACTACACACGTTGCACACAAGTTAATCACCCGATAACAGAATGCAGGCCAAAGACCAAAGCACGGCAACATAAGAGAAAAGAGAAAACACACAGCAGCATTTGCTTGCAGCGCTCAGTATCAGTCAGCAACTCCCGCAGGTGAGTCTTCTTAATCTCCTCAACATGAGCCTGCGGCAAGCAAGATCAAAATCGCGATTATAGCTTTTTCCACAAACGGTAAAAAACACAGCGGAGACACGAAACTGGCATTTTCACCTTCAAATCCTTCCATGGCTGAGTGTCGCAGATCAAAGCCGTCGGAGCCATCTGAAAATTCGACGCGAAGGCGAGCACAACGCTAATCAAATGTGATCTCCAAACAGCAGAAAATTCAAAACAAGAATTGCTCTCAGTTTCCTTTTCCCTCTACGAAAATGAAATCTCGCGAGCGGGGGGAGAGAGATAAGCAGAAACCGAGGCAATAGAAACGCCGGAAACATTTTTCAGTCGCAATTCAGAGATGAGACGGTCGGAGGGGATGAGGAATCGGCATACCTGAACGGGAGATGGTGAAGCTCTGGCTACAAGAGGAATCGAGCGAAGGCGTTCGTTTCGTTCGTATTGCAGGACTGCTGGAGGAATGAGTCTGTTTGGCAAGGGGGAAAATCTGGATTCGATTTCGAAGGGAAGTTGGGAGTTGAGGAAGAAAGTTATTGGAGAAGCGTGGGGTTCAAGGCGCGAGGAGATGGGTAAGGAGGGTGGCTGTTTTACAAACAGGCGGTGCGGAACATAAGGGGGAAGCGAGTGAGGTGGTGGAGGGTTCTCGTTGTTTAACGAACTTTCCCTTCGGCCATGGCCAACGGATTTTCGGGGATTTGTTTAATTAATATTTTTAAAAAAATAATTGGGCGATTATTGTAGGGTTTGATGGCGACCAGCCGGTGGGCAGGCGGCCGTCTGGTCGGACCCGCTGGTTTTTCTGGGGGGATAAAAACTGGGGGCGGTGGCTGCACGCGGTCAGTGAGTCGTGACTCGTGACTCGTCGTGATGGCACTTTCTCACCTGGCCTGATCGAGCTGCTAAATTCTATATCGGAGGCTGAATCGGAAAAGTTTGTAGTTTAGAGTTCGATGGTTAACCGTTATAAAAGCGTTGGTAACCGTTGATAAAATCGTTCATGATATATAACATACAATACTTGCATAATATGTTAATTTAAGAATGAAGTTATTATTGATCATAAACAATTTTAAATTCATATCATCACCAAAATATCTACTAAATCATTGAAATCGTGTCTCACAGAAGAAATCCTAAGTTTTTTAATTCAAGTTAAATATTATGGTGTCAGTTGGTAGTGGATCACGTAAAAATGACAACAAGGTTGAAAAATGAGAAGACGTATATAAAATAAATATTCATGGTTTGATAGTTTTAGTTTACGTTAAAGTATTTTTTTAAAAAACTTTTGTACTTAAAATACTTAACTAGTGGACTAGTTAAACCACGGTGGTTCATCTGGTTTTATATTGAATTGTGAAAAATTGTTTGGTCCATCAATAACCGTCCAAGCAATGAACCAGACCGCCCTCATAATTGATTTGACGGTTCTACTGATCCAAACATTGATCCGATTTGGTTGTTATAACAATGTAAAATACTCGAATAGGTTGCTACTTGCCTCCCAAAGTTCAAATTCTTGATAGGCAAAATACATGCATTTGAGACATCAAGCCAAAAAAAAAAAAAAGCATTTAATGGGTGACATTTGAAATTTTGAATCCAACTGTATATACCCCAATAAAGTATTGGGCGTTATTGCTCACGCAATCACTCACGAGTCACGACTAGGAGCTGCAAAGTCAAATTATGCTTCTCGTAAGGGTTATAGGATACTTTGATTCTTTATTATGTATTTTTCTTTAATATGTCATTATACTATTGAACAATTTTCAAACGTACATTTCAATTAAGTTTTCATCATAAAACCGTTATATGTGGTCGAACCACCACCCGAACAGTGTTAATGACATTTTTACCCCTGTACGACCATCCACATCCATGAAATAGCAATTCTATTTCATATGTGGTCTCTACCGCCACATCAAAAACTTTTTCCATTCCACTATATACCACTTTCATTTCCTCTACATCAATGAAATACACTATCTATTTCATATGGTGGGTCCAACTTACTTTTTAATACAACTATATATAATATACTATAAATAAACAATATAAAAAAGAGGAGAAAAAAAAAAAAGAAACGAGCCAAACGTAAGAAAGGGGCCCACTCCCAACCACACTTGCTATTTCATTTACAATTCCATTAAATGAAATCTTCCATTTCTTGAAATGCCTCATGCAACCATGAAATAGCCAAACCTGCATGTCATGTCATAATAGAAGAGGGAAATGAAAGACGTTGTGGATGCTCTAAGAGTTCAACATCAATAAAAAGCCCAAAATAAAAACAAAAGCATCAGAGGATCTATCCACCCTTTCCTCCGTAAATATCTAGACCCCTTCACCTTTCTCCTCTTCCTCCAAGTGACTAGGTCAACAATGACTGACGATAGTTCATGTGACTGGTCGCATCCATGATAATAACAAATAAAAATCAACGACGACGGTGGCGATAGTTCATGTGATTGGCAGTGCATCAACGCAGTCTTTAAGATTTGAAATTCAAACCAAGTCTGTGACGGAAGTTCAAGTTGAAAATTGGTCTTCATCTCAATCTTCCTCTTTTGCTCGCTTTCCCTTCGGTGACCAAAAATTTAATGTGCTAAAGGCCAATTAGTGTACCAATTCCCGAATACCTAAAACAAAACATTTTTGTGTCCTTTGTGTGCTAATACTAGTGATGGCAATTTGAACTTGCCCCGCGGATTTTACCCGACTTGACCCGCAATGGTGTGGGTGTTACCCGACCCGTAGTAGCGTGGGGTGGGGCATGGGTATCTATTTCCGACCCGCCTTGCCTCGTTCTTGGTCCATTTTATCTCAATTTCTGACGGTATCTATACATATTTCTCCTATTCTGACTTTTCTTCAACTAGGTAGAGTCCATCTTTCAACTTTTTAGACTCAATTACGCATTCTGTTACCATTATCTTTCATTCATAAAGTGTTTTCCCCTTCCTTTTATCATAAAAAGTGAAATTTGCGTGTATTTTTTTCCAAATAACATGTAAGAGTGGGTCAACCCGCCCCGTCCTGCCCCATTCCCATCACTAGCTAATACCTGGTTCACTAAGGGATTTGGGGTACGCTATCTCTCCATCTCCATAGCACAACTGCACTAGCTTAGGAAAAGAATTTGGGATTCACTAGTAGTGTTAGGATCCAAATTTCATAGGTGAAAAGGAATTTCAAACGACAAGTAGTAGACGCAGTCGCGACGGCTAAGCAGTGTCCACGTTAGAAACAGCCAGCCGATGACAGTCAAAGTCATAAAAAAATTATAGTCAGGGTGGAGGGATCTTTTTTCGACATGGTTGAATGGCGGAGGAACAATTGACATGGGTTAATAACGAAAATTGAACAGACTACAATTGAACAAGATTAACAGTTTTACAACGAAAAATTAACTAACGGGTACGTTTGAGAATTGTTCAATAATATAAGAACATGTTTGATACGATTCATGGTAAAAGGGCATGCCTGAGAAAATGCATAGTAAACGGACAAATTATATACATATAGGCTATAACCCTCTCATAAACCCACGTTGCTTCCCTTCTCAAACTCTCCACTCAAAAAAATTATTTGTGAAATTATATTGTACTATAGTCGGATTATAAACGTTGATCTAATGTCTGCTTGATCAGTAATACATATACGCATATAATATAAGCGAAGTTTGTATTGACGGGTGTACATCACAGTCAAATGGTTTATCATTGGTATTATTTTGATATATTATCGATCGAATACATTATATCTTATTCTCGCATTATTTTTACAATGATATTATGTCAATATGATAACAGTTACACTATGATTATACTAGCATTGGAATCGGCCCGTTGGCTAGTGGAGTAAAGAACATGTATGTGTACATTAAATTGTCCCAATTTTTTTGAAGATGTGTCTGGTTTTCCAATTGGAGTTCGAATCGGGAAAGGTTGGAATTGGCGACACCTTTTAGGACATTAAGGGTGCGGTGAACCGCAGTGCATAAAAGATCTCCCTATTGTGACTCCCCTGTTCCAGCTTCGTCTCTTTGCTCGCCTCCCGATTAGCTATCTGTGCTCACCTCAAAGATGAAAAGTCGTCACATTTGAAAATTGCTAGTGCAGTCAACATTGATTATAAATTCATAATGCCATTAAAGTTATTAACGAAATAACTATATCTATGTATTTTTAAGAAATTTATTATTATTATCATCATCCCAAATTACAAAGTTATGAGAAGTATTTTGCTTTCAATTTAGGCAAAATACAGTTGTATATCCACAACTATCACGTTTGTAACAAATATATCCACAACTATCGAAATACACGAAATATCCAATTTCGTCCAATGCTCTAACAACGTCAATTAACAATCTGACTGGATTGACGAAATGGGCTGAGTCGGTGATATTTGGTCCCACCATTACACGTGGATAATGAAAAAAAAAGATAAAAATCCTTCTTTTCCTCTTCCCGTCGTCATCTCATCGTCTCCCCGCCTCTCTCCTTTTCTTCCTCAGCACCCCATCTTCGATCTCTCTCTATTGCCCTCGCTGTGTCCTATGATGCAGAAGAAGTTGGATTTTCGGCCACACATCTCACTTATCCCACCCCTTTCGCCATGTCGTTCACGTACGCAATCGCCTCCAAGTACCAACACAAACGGCTCTATTGAATCTTGGTTTTTGGGTTGAAGCTCAGAGGTCAAATCGAAGTCGGAAATGATTCCATTCGAATCAAACTTGGAGACTTAGAGCTCGAATCTTGGTTTCTGACTGAAGCTCGGAGGTTGAATCGTAGTTAGAGGCTGAAACTCGATGGCGATTCGTTCAAATCGAACTCTTAGGCTCGGAGGTCGAATTGGGTTTCTGTGGTGAAGCTGAATCCGTCGCAACGGCCCTCCTTGCCCTCAGTTGATCTTCACTAGCCCCATCTTTAGTAGTCAACCGATCGTTGAGGAGCTCGACGTCGCTAGGAGAGATATTGAGACAATAACTTCCCTTCCAAGCGACCGCCGAAGGACTCCGGGAGGGCGTCGAGGTTGGGCATCTCGGTGAGTTCACTGGGAATTGAGCCGGCTAAGGGAGGACGCCGCCAGGTCTTCATCTATCGCGGTCGATGTGGGGGGTTTTCTCATCCTCTGCTTGATGCGATTTGGGGGGTTTTCCCAATCCTCTACTTGCTTTGATTTGGGGGGTTTTTTCATCGGCGGTGGGATTGGTTTTCGTTTGAGAAAGAAACAGAAATTTGATTGAGCAAGTGGGCAAGCCCAGATCGTTGATTGAGAAAGCAAAAGACCAAGATCGATGTCGGCGACGGGAGCGTGAGAGGAAGCTAAAGGAGGAAACAAAGCTCGCCCTTGGGATTTGGCCGCTTGGTAACGAAGCTCGGCGTCGGGATAGTGTGGCCGGAAATATGGGGTTGATCGCCGAAATTTTAAATTTTTTATTAATTAATTTCTGACGTGTCATTTAACTCTAATATTATGTTGATTTGTTGCTGAGGTGGACGGTGATTTGGATCCTAGTCAGCATTCCGTCACAATAATTAACGGCGTCACTAACACCGTTATAGTTTCAGATGGAAGTGGATAGATTTGTCACATAACCATCCAATTTTTGGATATTTCGTGTATTTCGATAATTGTGGATATATTTGTCACAAACG